TCTGCAGAGACAAGTCATTGTTTAGTGAAAGTAAAATATGATTGCATGTTTAGTTAAGCTAATAAAAATATTTTTGTAATTACAGAACTTTAATAGAGTTCAAGAAATCAATTATCAATATTAACAAAAATTCTTGATTGTAGACATTATTCAGGTAAGATTTAAAAAAGCCAATCAACTACCTAAAAGCATCCCATGTATAGAAGCTGTTGGATAATTATTGCAAAATATCTCTGAAAAGCGATATAATTAGTGGATACCATTATTTTTAAATAATTTAGAAGTGTCGCAAAGCAGATTTAAAATGATTGCAAAAGTATTGGAGTCTTTTTGGATCAGAAAATTAAATTTGTCATAAAATTGAAGTCTGTATTAAGAAGAGTAGAAAATCATATATTTGAAAACAACACTTGTATAAAGTGCCTTGCTCAAAAAGATGGAAAAGTAACTTTGCTAGTATAATTTGACATCACCTGTACAAATGGAGAGCAGTTAATAAGCAGTTTTATGAAAAGTAAGTCTTGAGTAGTGTAAAGGTGGGGTTATATCACAAAAAAATGCATATAAGTGCATCCCTGTAAAATAATAAAGGAGTCCTGTCAATCGCTGATTTCTCTGCAAAAGCTCACTTGTCTAGCAACTTAGAAAAACCTCAGACACTAAGGGTGATGATCCCTATGAGCCTCCTGAAAAAAAAAGTTGTCTTGCCACACCATTCAACAACTGCAGCAGTTGCCTTTAAAATTCCTGACCCAGTCAGGAATTTTAAAATTAGAACCAGGAGTGTCTTATGCAAGCAGTTTTTTGCTAACAGTATCGGCTTGAATATGCCCTCCAATGAAGGAATTCTGGAAGGAATGAAGAACAGACCGAAAAGATGAGAACAAATATGAAGGAAGCTTTAAAGGTTGAAAATTGGGCACTGCATTTTGATGGAAATAAATTTAATGGAAAAGAACTACAAGTGGTTTAATTAAAAACGCAGAAAAAGAACTCATATTGGGGGTTATAATCATGTAAAATTCAAGACAGCAAACAACTGTTTTTGCAGCATCAATGAAAGTGATAGTCATGAATACAAAAATTTTGATTCCTGGCAGGAAAAATAGAGTTTCAGTAATTCTACAGCACCTGACAGAAATTTACTTGTGGCACAATATGTTGACTGCAAACACCATTTTTTGGACTGCATTTTAAAACAAATAATGATTGATATCTTAGATAATAATCATTCTCCAGAAATTGTGTATGATTTTGTAAATGACATTGTGAGGAAACATGATTCTCTGAAGACAAAATTTGTGCAGAGCAAGACAAGATTGAATCTCTCTTCTATTACATGTACAGATTAATAATAAAAAAAATTAATAATTGGAGCTGGGATATACCTTTCCCCTATTTCTTAAACAATGGAGAATTCCCATACATTAAATTTTTGTGGATTGCTAAATCTGAGCAATGCTCAGTGGAATTTACTAGGAATCTATAAAACTTGAGCAATGGAATTCACATAAAACATAATGCTATCCTAACTTTTACTTTATTGCCTCAAACAAGAAACTAATTGCAGCTGAATTTTGGAATTCGGCTTGACATTTGGTTTTCAGATCAACATTTTTGAGAAAATTCCAATACTAAGTTGATTGAAAGTGTTTAAATTGTTAAAACGCTTAAAAGTGTTTAAAAAACATAGATAAATGAGCAATATTTGTGCAGAGAGAACTGTACATTTTATGCAATCTTGAATTTCAATATTTAATGTAACCTTTAAGAATCTTAATTTACACGTTATATTCAATAACAAGAATTTATAACATCACATGTTGCTTCACTTTCAAAATCATTATTTCACAAAAAACATACTTAATATTTTGTAGTGGGTGAAAATAAAAACAAAATTAAAAATAGATACATATTTCTTTATTTAAACTTTTTCTCATGGTGTAGGACCATGGCCGCCACATTTTCTGAAAAAAATGTCAGAAAGTTACTGCCGTTTGTGGCGCATATATTGTTGACACATACACACATTCAAGTATACATATATTGGTGCATACTTAGACACTCACTGAATTATTATAACGCACATAGTAAAAAAAAATTTAATAATATGAGAATTTGGACTTTATTAGGCAGTGTATATCAATTTATGTATGAATAGCAGAGAAGATTGTCTTGCTACTTTAACAGTTTTTTTCATTCTTCTTTTTTTGTCTGAAAAAAGCCACAAGAAGACTGCTTTAAAATTTAAAATATGAAAAAATTATTAAAATTATTAAATCTACTTTATTTTTCTAGACAAATATAAAAAAAAATATTTTCTTATAACATACAATCATTCTGATTTTACCATCTATGATTACTTTTTAGTTGCTCTATTGTTGAAAGAAAATAAATATATAATTTTTGCTTATTTTCAAGAATTTCCAAATTAAGGTTGAAGTTACACAATGAACTAATAAATAGTGTTTTAACATTCTGTAGATATATTTTTCAAAGGAGTAAATTCAGTTAACAAATAAATGCTCCACAGCTCAAGACAATATTATAATATTCATCATCCACTGCAAAACCTAAGCTGCCATACAAGAGAAATCGCTTTCAAGATCGGTTTCCTATTCTAAGCAATTAAAAAGTCATGACATTATGTCAAGACTGGAGTATTTAGTTGTGTCTTTAGCAAATAAAGTTACTTTAGAGAAAGAATTTTCAGAAGGATTATTAATGTGGACAAGGAACAACACAGAACCAAGGGTGTAACCTTGTAGTACCCAGAAGTGGAAATAAAGAGGAGTGTTGTACATCAAGGGTAACTTTTATACTGCGGTTAAATGATACAATTATATAATTCTGAAACCTTTACCTGATATTATATCATTTTTTTATTTAACTCCCCATAGCTAAATTGGCTTGACATGATACCTATGTGATAAGACAAACAAGACATGGTAACTCTGTGATAGGA